CTTGGGTTTTCTCAACCGAAACTAGAAACCCAGGAGCAGAGTCTGGATGGTGCAGTGAGTGAAGGGAAACCTCTTCTCAGCTTGAGCTTCCTACAGTGGACATTCCAACAAACAAGGGAAAAATGAGAAAGAGAACATCCATCAAAATACTATTGTGATTTGAAGGAAAGAAAGTGTGTGTGTTCTCGGGAAGAAAAATGCTCCTAGTAAGTTCCTGCTTCATTTCTCTGAGCTTTGAAAAATTCATCTCTGAAACATAAAACATATGGGGGGAGGTACAGGTGAAATGTTCAATGAGTAACAAATTTTACTCCTTTAACATAAACCACATGTGTTTGAAATAGACATAGACATTATATGTCTATGTACGTATATATGTACATTTCAACACACACACCCCACACACAAAAAGTAAGAGTCAGTATTTGGGCCTCTAAATATTAGATTTAAAGTATCAAAATCTTGGCTCCTCAAATATATGGGTATGAAATATCGTTTTGTGAAGGTGATGACCAACTCCTATTGACAGAAGGTGCACATTTACAGTTGTGCAGCCTGTATAGACAGGAGATGTTTCATCCCTAGTCCCAGAACTCAGGAGTCTTAAGCAGGACAACCTCAATGTAGAGATCAGCTTGGGCAACAGAGCAGAACCTTGTATTTAAAAAGCTGAAAATCAGAAAACATTTTTTTTCTTTAGATTGCATTTATTTATTTATTTATTATTTTATTTATTAACCACATGATTAGAAGAAGCATTTCATGACAGCTTTAACATATTCAGTAACAACGGAAAACAATTTTAAATGAGGGGAACTTTTATTTCTCCAAAAACAAAGATATCCTATTGCTTTGTTAACTCCCAACTATGCACCTTGGTTCTACTACTGACTCTAGACAGTGCCCCAAACCTCTTCCTGTTAGCATACTGAAAACATTCCTCCTGGGAAGTCTCATGACTATAATGCAGTAACTGCTCACTCATTATAATAATTTTGTCCCGATTCACGTAGCAGGCATGGATTCAAGTACTGGGAATACAGCATTAAATAAAACAAATAAATTCCCACTCCCCTTATACCATTAACATGATGTGGGGACAAAAAAAACCCAACTTGATAGTGAGGGTTGTACAGCTTTCCGTCCCAGGGAGGGGTCCCAATGCTTGGAGACAGAGAGCACTAGAGCCCTGACTTGTTCTGAAGGTCCTTGAAGGGAAGAGTCTGTAGTACACTTGCTGTATGTCACCAACCTTACATGACCTAGAGCGCCAAAGTACTTCGAGGCTGTTGGTAATGAACTCAGAACTTGACCCAGCAAAATATGCCAGAAGTATTTTGTGTTAGGTCACTGCTTGTAAGTAGATCAACGGAAAGGTCATCATGGTGCATTTGTTCAGTCAGGATCTTTCTTTAGTCATGATGATACGCAATTCTATTCTTACTAGAAAACCACATTTATTTCACATGTGTTTCTCAG